TCCTGAGCCATTGAGCTCCGTAAGCAGACAGATTGTTCAAAATTGATGACAAGACAAATACAAGCGAGCTGGGTATTTGTGTATGTGCTCATATGCCTATGTTCCTGCATATGTGTATTTTCATATAGATGCCATTAAGGCTGTTTACATTGAAATTTAGACAGATTGTTCTTAAGATGGACATCTCTATACAACGCTTGTTTGACTAGGTATTTTATATATTTTACGCTTTAATTAATAGCGCATTATATAATATTTTATGCACATTTTTTACACTTTCAGAATCCTTTTTATATTATTATTGTATATTATTTATTTTAATTATATATTAAATAATTGCATCATATATTTGTGATGTCGCGCTTATTTGCTTATGTTGTTTTTTTTATTGCTTATGTATTTTTTTTAGAGGTTTATACATACTTTTGCCAAATGTTTAGTTTTTTTATTCTTATTTAAAGGCTTTTTCACATTCACGCTTGAACAATAACTACCAACTTACGAGTAAGGCTGCATCCAAAAGGTTATAATGAGTGTTTTGCTGGTCCATACTAATCTGAACGCATGTGTAAACAATGAAACAAAGGTGTGCTTCTCTGTGAACGTGTGCATGTGGAGGACACAGGAGATAGAGTGGACTTGTTTAATGACAGGAACAGCTGACTCATTTAGAGAGAGCAGTGAAAGGTAATTAACCCTGGGAAAACTACAGCTGCCATGCGGGCTGTTCACTTCGGCGCAATCTGATTAGGAATCACTGCTCAAGCCCCCGACTCCTTTCAGACGCTGTGTTCTCGCCATCAACTTTTGCCTTTGCCCCGGAGAGCCTCTCGGAGCCGCACCGGAGACCTGCCTTTTGTGCCAGTGCGGGAGGGGGATTATCTGGAACGGTTACTACGTTTCTCCAAATTGCAGACCACCTGGTAGCATTCAGCCAACCTCTTCCATGAAAAGGCCTCTCCTTGGGTTGGAACAATAAGCAGGATTACATTGCTCATTGTTGCACCAAGGCTAGAACTTCTTTCCCCCCCAAACACCTGTCCCTAAATTAGACAGGTTTGAAAACGCATTTTCGCAACACCATTCAGAATTTCTAGCTAACACACTATGCTTGGGCAAACTGGACACTTGCCAAAGCATAAATTGTCTGCCACTCCATTTATTATGCTATTGAAGCAGTGTAGTCAGAGTCAATACTAATTTTATTTGTCTCAATATTTTGGTGGTTGTAATTGGGTTGAAATTTGTGAATAAAATGGCATAGCATCCAGAATGCCTTTCATTTGATAAGGCAACTAAAAGCACCAGAAATTTGGTCAAAAACAGAAATTGTCGCTTTGATGTTAGAAGAAACAATCTGGACTTGGTGCGTGTGAGTGGTCTAGCTCCAGATGAACTCAATTTAGAGGGACGGCTTTGGGATGACTTTGGAAAACGATGACAAGATTCATAAATCACCTCGGCAAAGGTGTCACCATCTGACTGTTTTATGGGACTCATGCGAACTCCCTCCAACAACAAGTTTCCCCTGTAGTTATGCCATCATAACAAATCATTGAAGCGAGAGCGGCTAGCCAGGCTCCTAATTGTCTGTTAAGAATTCAGTGAGCTGTGTTCTTTTATTGAAGCATCTCTGTCTTGGAGAAGTGATACGATGCCAATACGGCTCCTCTATAAGAGTACTCTTTGGCAAAAGGCACAAACACTTTGCTTGGCCGTCAGGGTAGCTGTGAGGCTGTTATATCTGAAATCGCAGTTGACTTCAAGATTTTTGACTCTCTCTGCATGAAACCAGATCCACTGTCAGACGGAGGAATGCTCAGAAAATGCAGATTTTCTCATTGCATACATTGTATACAGCATCCCTGCTTATTTATAACAACATATGGTAGGAGTGAACAAACTATTAACAGATTTAAAGGCAGGCTTTACTGGGATTTGACAATAAAAAATCAATTATGTTCTGTTAGCTCTACAAATAGATAAAATACTTAATATAGAAAACAATTCTCTAACTTTAGTGAACTATAATTATGATGGCAAACTTAGAAATCTCTATGGATCAAATTTGAGATAAAAAATAGTTCCGTCTGCTCCCTCCAGTTCCTGAAATAAAGCTATTTTAGTTGGGTCCAGCTGGAATTTGGGCTTTTGATGGTTCCCTGGCAAACTAACAAAAACTCTGCAAAAAAGAGAAAGAAAAGTTGTTTATCTAAATACTTTGTTGAGTTAATTTTAATGTGAGTCTAGCTCACCATGGATCCATTTGCATCTCAATAACATTTGGCAAAAGCAATCCTCCTTTTACTTTTCCACTGAAAAGCAGGTATGTTTCTGCCAGCTCACCTTTCGCTACAACATCAAGCTTTTTTTATTGCTAAGCTTATTCTGCAAACTTCCCATAGGCTAAATTTCGATCTCTTTCTATATCCTTCATTACAAGGCAATATGAAAGTCAAAGGTGCTATCTCTGGCTGTTTGCTCTTTATTATACATAAACAGAAAACACTTAGCATGTAAAATTAATGTGAAAATTATTCCCGGGGTAAACTATAAACACAGAAGTTACCCCGCACATTTACCCTTTTTTCTCCTTCCCCTAGATCAGAGTGTAATTGCCAGTAATCAGGTCTGTTTGCTGCTGATAAAACCACTCTGAATGCGAGGAACCCTCTTTGTGTGATGACTCAATTATGCCAGAAGTGGCTCATCAAACCTGGCCCATCAGCTGCTTTAATAAATAAGGAGGAAAACTTGCTGCAGGCGCATTATAATTCCATTCATTCCATAATTAAATCCATTCCAGTTTTAACCCCTTCGCTCTGTGCGCTTCTGGAAGGAGGAGGGGAAAAAAAACAACAACAAGAGAAGGGGCGGATGAGTGGGGGCGTCCGGAGCGGGTGGGGGGGCTAGTATACAACACACACCAGACAGTGACCTTGCACGAAGCACCCATGCGTTTCCTATAATTCAAAATGATACTGTTGAAGAAAGGTTAAGAGAGAGCGGCTCCCGCAGAAAAGAATGGCAAATCAGTGCGTTTTTATGTACGCATTGTTTCCACACACAGCCTTAGACGGTAATTATATTAAAAGAGTAATCTAATCATAACAGTTGGTTGGTTGGAGTGTGCAGCTCTGACATTTTCAAATCTTATTTTGTGTAATCTCATTTGCCTCTATCATCTCGCCTGGACCCCCCACCACCCCCGCCACCACCACCACCCTTACCCTCCTATCTAAAAGGAAATGTAAATAATGTAATTAATTTTATGCTCTCCAGAATACTTAGTTTGCTTACTGGCAGACTTGCTTTATTGGTTTGAAGATGAGGTATCAGAGAGAGTTTATGTCTATGTTAATTACACGGGAGCGTCCCAAGTGCACGGATAAGCGGGCAACTCCGGGACACAAAGCCTCAAGGTCAGTGATGAATATCCAAGGCAGCTGCACTGTATTAATACGGCATTATTACCAGAAATAATAACAACTCCTTCTTCACTTACAAGTCAGAGTGGCTGTATCAGAAGGGTATTTTACACATAATTCTCCCCCCTCTTTATCTCTGCTACGTCCAGCCTTGTGATAATAGTGACTAGACGATGGTTATTCATGATTGCCGGACTAGGAAAGGCAGCCACCCCTCCCCTTAGTGGCAGTCCATTCTCTGCGCGCTGTGGTGGGAATGCAGCAGATGGGGTTAAGGGGGAAACCGGGGCTTGCTCAAGGACAGCTAGCAGCCAGATTAACACATACTAAAATCTCATGGAGCCACGGCGTCAGGCTTTTCTTCCCCAAGAGACATCTCCCCTCTAGACGAAAGAGGGGAAAGAGTCGTATTTGTCTTGGCCTAGTGCGCAAGAGGAGGGGGAGATGCATAAATATGATTCAGCAGATGACGAACCAGCTCAAATAGTAGTCTTTTTTCATATGCTAATCAAAATGAGTGAATGCCCTCCCTACTACTGCTCCCCCCCGTGGCCCTCCTCTCCCCCCCTTTGGTTTTGCTTTTCAGGGGAAAAAACTACTGTGAGCTATAATTAAGATTATGTTGTTTTTCAAAGCTAACAGAAATATGTAATTCCATAATAAGATGTATGAAGTGAAGAGGCTTAATGTAGTCATTGTCCTGGCCTTGTTTGCCTCTTAGATGTTCTGTATTAATTAGAAGCAAGCAATTTAATCTCTGTCAAGCAATCAATTTAAATTATGTGACCTCCTCCAACTGTAGATCTTTTAGTGCAGCTTTTTCCACCATTTTATCTCGCAAAACAGTGCACTGACATGTCACCTCAATTTGACCAAGCGAAAAGAGTGAAAAAAAGATTGAAAAAAGATAAGTACGGGAAAAAGTATAGATAGGCCTAAGGTGTGAAGTGAGTGAATATAATAATAGGATTGACCAGTTTTAAACAAGCAATACCCTGGAGCAGTTACCAAATAAAAATTAAAACGCATTTTACATTTTGTTGCATGAAAGTTGTGCTAATTTTGTCTGTTTTTGTTAATTGTGTTATCATCTGGTTCTACAATCAAAGCAGATGAGAAAAATGGCATAGCTAACGAAAAAAAAAAAGGTGTGGAGATTTAGGTTAAAAACATATTTAAAACGTTTCTCTCTCTTTTTTTTTTTTCTCTCCAGAAGATAAACTGCATGAGTAAATCTCCATCAACTCAAAGTGTGTATTGTGTTATCATTTGGTTCTACAATAAGATTAGATGAGAAAAAAGGCAATCTTCTTAACAAAAAAGAGTTGTGGAGATTTAGGTTAAAAACGCATATTTAAAATGTTTCTCTCTCTTCTTTTTTCCCCTCTCCAGAAGATAAACTGTGTCAAAGTTGTAATAATTTTGTCCAATTGTGTTATCATCTGGTTCTACAAACAAAGCAAATGAGAAAAACTGACTTTCCTAACACGCTTGCAAAAAATAGGTGTGGAAATGTAGGTTAAAAACGCATATTTAAAATGTTTCTCTCTCTTTTTTGTTTTCTTTCTATAGAAGATAAACTGCATGAGCACCTCTCAACCAACCCAAAGTGTGTAAGCATCAACCAGAGAGAAGAGGGGGAATCTGGCGTCTCATCCGACAAGGAGCTTGTGAAACTACAGTGGAAGGTAAACAGCCACCACGAGGCTTTACATAAAGTTCAAAACTATAAGTATGAGGGGACTCTGAGGATGAACGATTGTGTAACAGTGTTTTGGATAAGTAGCATGCTAAGTGGTGTAGTGTTGCTGATTCTTTGACCGATCATAAACTGAGATGGGTTTGACTTATGCAAAGCTGTGGGTGGCGTGAAGATAATACATGCTTTAAAATGTTTTCCTCGCTTACTCTAAATAGATCACTGCCTCTGGTTTTCAGCTTCTCTTCTTATGCCATTTTCAAGTCAAGTTTTTGCAATTCACAACCAGCAAGATTTTAAATTGTAGAGAATATTTGAATATGTATGTTTTGGTTGCTAAAATTAAATATTGAAGAGTTCATTTGCAAAAACAGATAAGTGGCATTTAAAAAGTGATTGGAGGTTTACAGTTTACTTTTAGTATAGAAAGCCTAAATATTATTCCATCCCTCCTTGATAAAAGCCACAAAAGCGACATTAGTCATTGATGAAATCTTTAGAAGAAAATATCAGAAAAAGAAAATTAGACTTAGACAAACTTTATTGATCCACAAAGGTGAAATTATGTGGACACAGTAGCTCACACATCGCAATACATCATAATAACAAAGAGCAAAAGTTTAAATGGTAACAATAAATTCAAAATAACAAGAGAGTGTTTTGTTTGTCTAAAAGAAAAATAATTTTGGTAATTTTTCAAAGTGGAGATATCATTTTTTGCAACTGAACTCTTCATATTGTAAGTGTAAAAGTACAATTTGAGTAAATGCTTGAGAAAGAAAAACACTGCAAATAAAATGTGTTCCTTAAAAACATAAAGCAGTGTTTTCCACAGGTTTCTACTAAGACGAGTAGCACAAGTGATCCATATTTGAGTCATTTCATTTAATACAATATTTTGATGTGTAAACATCACGTACTGAACTAAAAAAGCACAGATTACATACTAAAAATGATTACTTCTATGTTTATGGTAACACTACAAGCATTTTTTTTTCTCAGCTAAGACTATAGGGGTGAAAATTAGACTATGGGGGGTCCACCATAGTCTCTTCGACTAATGGAAAACACTGCATAAAAGTGTAAAGTGTGGGGTTGTAGAAAGCGTAATGGAGTAAATGCTACTGTCACTGAAATCCCCTCTTGTGACTTGACTCTAGATGTGTCTATTTGTTCTTCCTTTGTAAATACTATGCGTCACATGTTTGTGTATGTTGCCATGCCAAGCGACCTGCTAGGCCTCTGAGTCTTTTGTCTCTATCTCAAACAGATTCAAAACATTCAGCGTATCACAATAAAATAAATTAAATAACTGTTCACATAATTGTTTATTTAACTTGAGTGGAGAATAAATCACAGTATACGGTGTAAAAAAACTGTTTGAGCTTTTGAAATGTCAAATAGGAAAAGTCTTGGTAATAATTTGCGTGTGAGTCAGTGCTGATATTTAGCTACACTGATAACATCATTTGAACTTTCATTAATGTCCATGCTGCAGTCAGTGTTGAACGTCAAAACAACACTTTGCCTTAGTCCATAAAAAAGAGAGAAAAAAGAGAAAAAAGAAACGTAGAAAAAGTGTTAGAAACTAATGAGGTACATTGGTTTGTACAGAATGTAATCTATAGTGTTTGGGAGTTGTTTGTCTCAATAGGCTGTAGTAATCAAAAGTAATGAACCTATTATGAGCAGGACCTCTGAGGGCCTGCCGTGGCATTAAGAGTGTGCCACATAAAAGGTTTATTAAAGGAAATTAAGGTCCATCACTGCCACACCTGCTCCCCTATTATAAATGTATGACAGGTCAGTGCCTTCAATCACAACAGCAAACGAGAGAGAGGAGTCATGTTTCCCATTACCAGGGAAAAGTAACAGCATATCCTATGACTCACAGATTTCACTGCCCTGTGACCACTATACGCCACCATCAGCCTGGAATAATTATGTTTAATAGGTTTTATTTGGGAGCCACAAGCAACAGCCAGCGAGAGTGGATGGATTTTAGCAACTATTTTTGTCTAAACACACACAGAGAGGTGCTGTTGGTACTTTGCTACCATTATTTAGTGTCATTACATTTTCACTCACCTTTGAAACTTTTTTTTCCAAACATAATACTCCATGTGTTTACATATTACTGGGTTTTTAGTAGCTCTTTGCAATGTTGACATAAAAACAAATTTTGGGGTATTGAACTTCTCCAAAAATGGTGGTGCTCAAAGGTGTTTTGCTACTACTATTTACTGGAATGATACTACTAGGTCCAAGGCATAAAGTAATAGTGTTGACAGCATATTATTCTTCACCTATGCTTGTGTATGTCTGAGGTAGTATATAAAGTATATATAGTATGTATTTTAATGCATTGTAAACATTTCATCATGTATATTACTTATTATATATTTTAATATTTAAAATAGTTTTATGTGAATGTGTAAAAAAATTATAATAAAATTAATTAAGGAAAGATTTTTTTTTTTGTTGAACATTTAAAGCATCATAATAAATACAATAGTAACAAAAAATCTCAGATTTAAAAATATGTTTAAGCACCTAAAATAAATTGAATAATGAATGAATATAATTGTATATTTTTTTAGGAAAAGTTACAATGTTTATGATATATTTTCAGAAAGTTATGTTTTTATAATATCATTTTCTGTCTCTATCTCTTTTTAATTTTATGATGATTATTTAAGTTTTGATTTGTTTTTATTGTGATTTTAATGTATTTCTTATTCTGTAAAGCAATTTGAATTACTTTGTGTATGAATTGCGCTATACAAATAAACTTGCCTTGCCTGAAAAGTATTTCTATTTTTTCAGATGGATTCTTCTGACAGTGAGGAGCAGACTCTGAACACGTGTAATAATAACATAGGTAAGTACAGCTCGAAATTTCGCTTTTTTCCCCCCATAATCCACTTATCGCTTTTGGTTAGGGCTTTCAGTTCAACAGTCCAACTTTAGAATAGTCAATTTGACGTGTTATCTTAGTGGACTGAAGAGCACTGCACTGGTATTTTATTATTCAGAGGGGAATAACTTCATTACATGGAAACAGTGGTTCATATTAGTTAGGCAGTGTGGATATAGTGAATGATTGAAAAACCTCTAGACTGGGGCTGTCATTATGCAAGTGTGCAGGGGTTTCCCAGGCTTGTATGATCACACAGGGCTATTACTGCATGGGGAGAAAATCACAGAAACTATGATTATTGATTGTGCTTCATAAGAGTAGGGCTGAACTTGTGAATGAGATTTACACAGAACTATTGAGAAAATTGATTTAGCCTTTCGGTCATATTACCATCAAAGAATAAGCTCCCATTGAAAGAGGGAGCATGCTTTTGTATCAATGACAAGAGCTCTTCATTGTCCTTGCAGTTATTATACCTAAACACAAAATTTAATATTAGTACAGGCTGTTATACTCAAACATTATCTGCAGCATTATCTTTTCGTATTTTTTATTTTTTTAGTTGTGTTTGTTTTATTTCTATTTCAAGTTGGTTTCTTAGTCAGGGAATTAATAGAAAGTATAAATACAAAAGCTGAACTAATTTACTTGTTTTCTTCTTTTTTATGTCTTCAATTTTTATTTATTTTTTTGCCAGGCCCAGTTGAGAGCAACGCTGAGAATCACAGGTAAAACATTTGTGTGTGTTTCGACAGCAAAATGTTAAAACTTATCTCTTCATAAGAAAGAGCCAGTGACACTTTTATTTGACCCAGCTGCACTTTCTACCCTCTCCCTTTACCCTCTACAGCCCATATGGACCAGCGGCAAGAAAGAGGAGTGCTCAGGAAGGGGTTCAGGGCGCCCCCGTCAACAAGAGAAAGTCCCTACTGATGAAGCCTCGCCACTACAGCCCCAGTGAGGCTTGTGAAGAGGAGAGCGAGGACCTGGCAGCTCCACGGGACAAAGACGAGCGGAGGAACACTGACACTCCAGCAGGTAAACAGATGTCCTGTTGTTTTGTCTGTTTTGATGAACAATTGACGCTGAATTTTAAAATCCCATCTGTTGCATTCATATTTCCCTCCCTCTGCCATCAGCCAGCAGCCGCAGTCATTGTGCAGTGGAAGTGAAAGACTACACTGCTGGGTCTGCATTAGTTGTGTCTCACGTCGGCAAATTGAAGTTTTGACAGCTGATCCACCGTGATATTTTTGGCGTGGTTCAGACCTGTTTTGATGAGGCCAGATTTTTAGACCCCTCATCTGTCCATTTTCAATTGCCAGTCCAGAGCTATTGAATCCATACAATGCTAAACAGAAGCAGTTTATTTTAATTAATTGTTTCGGCAATTTTTCTTACCTTTTTCAAAACCAAATGAGCCAACAATTCAAGATGAAGCTTTGGTTTAATGAAGGTCCTTTCTAAGGTTAATTAAACAATATGTACATTTTTTTTAAATTATTATTTATTTAATTAAATTTTTTGTAAATTTAATTTTGTGTATTTTGGTAACACTGCTGCTGGGGTGCATGTGCATTCTCACCCACTATAATCTGCTCTGATTTGGTATATTTTTAACGATGTAACTAAGCAACAAACGTAATTGTCCCTTTCAAAAGCTTTTGTTAGGCCCTCTAACACAGTCTAATACATAATTAGGCATAATGTCTACTGCTCATTATAGTACACATGTGTGTAGTTAAATGGTCCAGGAGAGTAGCTCACTGAATTGTGTGGATTTGTTCGGAATGGAATTTATTTGTTTCCTCTATTCATATTACATTACAATTATCTAAATAATTTACCATCCATCATCAGTTTTCTTTTGTTGTAATGTTTCCAATATTTTTTTTTCTTTTATCACCTAAACACTGGCTGGATATCTTCAGGCTCATACAATTCAACAAACCAGCTTTGAAACAAAACAGTATTTACAAAGTCTGAGGAGTGTCAAATGACCACAGATATTGCTAAACATTTTCAAAACAATTTGCTGCCATTGTCAGATGCGGGAGTTATTTTCTGTAAAAACACCAAAAATTGTGAAAGTGGGCTGGTGGCAGTAAGGATTTAGCGGGTGGGGAGCTAGTCATATCTGCATTTTAACAAAAAGGGAGAAAAATAAGCCTCTCGTTTGGTCGAGCCACACTGTGTTCAACTCCAGCCAACTCCAGGCCTGCTGCAGAGTGCTGGTAATGGCTATTCTGGAGTACAAACTGTTCACCTGTTCCAACATGCAGACCACCGCAGGGATCCAAGTTTTTTTTTTTCCTCCTGCATCTCGTTCCTCTTTTCACTCCACTTCTGTGTGTGAGTATACGTCTGTGTGTGAGTCTGACTGTACACGGCGGTGTCAGGCCTGCAGTCCATCTGGACCAGAGACAAAACCCTTGTTGCTGGGCTCATAAATGTAAATATGTGTAACTGGCTTTAATTTTTCATTCAGCATGATTCTTTAGACACTTCCTTTTTATCCATTTGACAAAAGCAGTTTGGTAGCTACACACTGTGATGTTACACGCAAACTAAACTAGTAAAAAGTGAACTGTCAGTGCTTATATTCTTACTTCTAAGGGCTCTTTTAGAGGTGTTGTGTTTTGTATTTTACTGTCACCCCTAACTTTATATGGTTCATTACTACTATTACTACTAATATTACTAAGATGATGGCAACCAACAATATTCAATCGACTTTAGTCAGAGTACTGTTCAGTGATTTATCTGCAAATCACACTTAATCTAATTCAAAAATCCACGTCTTTTAAAACTATGGATCCTACTTTTTTGTTAAAAGAAGCTATATACAATAAGAGGATATAGGCTCACAAAAAGTAAAAATCTCCTGAGTCTAAAGAGCCTTAACAGAGCATAAGTTTGACTGGTTTGGGAGGATCAAGGCAGATTTGGTTGAATCAATCCAGATGATAGCCTTGGCTTCCATTGTTAATCACTGACCAAGACTTACCATAATCAGTGGTGTTAATAGAGTGTTGTGCTGGGTGCATTTTGAGGGATCACGGTAACCCTCTTTGTCTGTTCTGCCTATTCCAGACGCCAGGACATGAGCCAGACTTTCACTGTAAAGCTTTCCCAACATGTGACCTGAATTTATGGATTAATATAGGAGAAGTAATATACAGAAAAGACAGCAATGTTGGGGAGAATTACTGTGTATAACTACACAAACCTAATCATAAGAGCGCATTTCTTTTTTAAGTAAATAATTTAAATATCTCCAGTATTAGAAATAACTAATAAATGACCCTAAAGCCCCTCCCCCATCCTAGTATGCATGCATGTATGTAGTAGTAGTAGCAAGTGTATTGCTAAGATGTCATCTACCCAAAAAGCAATATTGTTATATATGTAACATCAAAATAATTAATCTCACTGTGAAGATGTTGCCCCTTGACTTATTGAAAGAATTATTATGTTTTGTGCCAATGACAAGATGTTTCTTCTTGAAAGTACTTAATAACTCATAACTGTTGTTCGACAGCTATGTAAATCCTTGCATAATCTCATATTTGACAGTGTCAAATTTGTGTTTCTCATCGAGTGATTATACGGTCAAGTATCAAAATTTAGGTGCATAATGAGTGTGTGTGCTGTGAAATATATTTTAAGAACTGCTTATGAATATTACATCTGCCTTTTCTTATGATTGTGGTTTTGTCATGTCTAAATCACCCAAATGTTTTTCAAAACATGTTTTTATCAAGAATTTTATGAAAGTAACACATTCTAAATCCCTAAAAGGATTAAAAGATTAATCCAGACAAACCATTGTTATTTAAAATGATGTTTGGCCATATGTAATATGCAAGTAATATGTTGCAATAATGTTGTGTTGTTGTTCCAGATGGAAACTTAAGAAATGGCTGTCAAAGTGCAGATTCTCTGGGGTGGTCTGAGGTGCCCTCTGAAGACTCGCCCCAGTGTGAGGCTGACCCCAGTGAAAAGGCAGTGACAGACGAAGACGAAGAACTTCTAAAAAATGACGACGACCAGAATCAGGAGCGAATGAGTGGTGCCTCTTCACCACACTCCCCATACAGAGACATGCACGAGTCTGAGTGGGACCCTTATTCTCTATCCGCCAAACTCAATGGCTCCAGCCCCTCCAGATCGTCTGAGGAGCTTCTGCTGAGGAGAAATGGCCTGCTGAGGGAAGAGCCGGGCTTGTACAGGCCTCACCCCACAGAGGAGGGGGACAGTGAGGGGGAGACAGAGGCGGACAGGCCTGGCCGGCTGGATGGCTGGGCTCTGGGTCTCCATGAGAGAGCTTTGGAGATGAGAGGGGGCAGGGTGAACTTGAGCCTGTTGGAACAGGCTATAGCTCTGCAGACTGAGCAGAGACAAGCGCTACACCACGCCTACAGGGAAATGGACCGCTTCCTCTTGGAGCAGATGACCAATGAGAGACGACACCAAAGGATGATGGACCTGGAGAGACTTGGCTACCACACAGGCAAAGGTGATGACTGACCTCTTACTACTTATGATTAATTCTAAAATATTTTATATAGCAATGAGATGAGAGGAAATTAACAGCCATAACAAAGGGTTTCACGTAAAATGCATTAAAGCATTTTCAAAGTAAGATTCCAACTGCAGAATTGTAATTCAGAATCTATCTGATAAGGTCATGCCTCAACAATTTGAATGATTGGGCCCTCAAATAACATAAAAGGAATAAAAGAACTAAACCAGGAGGCAAATCCTCTTAAAACTCAAAATCACTTTTGGCAACAAGTAATAACGAAACAGACTAAAACAACAATAACAAAATGTACTGATGGATTGCTTCTACTCACAATATAATATTTTGATAAGAGTCATGAGGATATTTAACTAGAACCATAAGTCTTAAATCCTCCTAAAGTACCTCTTCAAATAACTGCAGCTAAATGTGTAATCCTAGATGTAATCTTACAATGGATATGTATTAAGAAGAAATATGCCCTGTTGTACAGCTGTCTTAACTAAAAGAGACTAGGGCAAAAAAAAAAAAAAATAATCTGTTTCAAACGGCCATTTAATGTAAATCTTTTTAATTTACATGGCTACTTTCGTTAGGTCTTCAAAATGTAGCAGAGATTATGAAATTATTTGTTTTAAGTGTCTATAACTTAATTTTCAGATTCTCCAAGAACCGAAAAAAGAGACATCAAGTGCCCAACCCCAGGCTGCGATGGCACAGGTCATGTGACAGGGCTGTACCCACATCACAGAAGTCTGTCCGGATGCCCACATAAAGTCAGAGTCCCACCAGAAAGTAAGCGTTTAAGAACAGAGCATGCATATGTCTGGCTCATTTATGTACATTCACAAACTGCCACTTTCTGAATTTATAATCAAGCTCAACACTAAATCCTCTTAGCCAAACGTTTTACACACTATACATTGACTTCATTTGATGTGCATAAACTTTGTTACACCCTTTCTGTTCTAATGTGTTGTATTTTGCGCATACTGACTTCTTTTTCACTCTGGTGATTGTTAAGTCATTTCAATATAACTCCACAAACATCCAACATTAAACAGTACTGTTACAAAAGGAACAGAAAAAGTAATTAACTTTTTTTTTCAAAAAGGCGCATGCTCTCAGACTGGCAGCAGTATTTGCAAATCAAAGGGCTAGCTAACGCAGTATTCAAAAATAAATAGACAACTCTAACAAACTAATTGGAGAATATGTACAGACGGGAAGTTTCTAAGGATACAGAGCGGACCTTTAACGACGCGCTGTTTTGAAGAATATAATCAGCTGTCTTATTACGCTCCTCTTTGCACTAAGCTATTTACATTTCTGTGTCTTACAATAAAAAGGCAGCTTCTTGTGTCTATGTAGGATTGTGCGCTCCATAGGCATTAATATACCACTAGTTACATAAATCATACATAAACTGTATTTAACGGTTTACTTATTGTATGACCTGTGTTTCTGAACTTTTATGCTTAACTGACTCACTGGTAAATGCTCCTCCAAACTCATCTCTCCTTGTTCCTTCAGTCCTGGCCATGCACGAGAACGTCCTCAAGTGCCCTACACCCGGATGCACAGGGAGAGGCCATGTCAACAGCAATCGTAGCACCCACCGGAGGTATGATGCTACACAAACCCATTAGGCTGCACTGGTCACACACTTACAGCATTGGGCTAATGTGTTTGCTCCTCCATAGTCTGTCTGGCTGCCCCATCGCCGCCGCTGTCAAAGTCTCCAAACCTCAAGAAGAGAGTCTGAAAAATAGACAAACCCCAGATCGTTCACCCAGGTAATATGTCAAACATGAAGCAATGACTCTGACTCTGATGGCCTGTTTAGCACAGGTTAACAGCAGAAAGGGCAGTCTTTTTCAAGCTTTCCAAGTAGACACAAGCAATGGTAGCTAGTCCTGCGAGTTTCTGTCTATTAGAGATGATAAAAGAGCAGAACTCTTTGTTCCCGGTGGATATATCATGGGCAGTGTGCCCACTCCTACTATATTAATTAGTCTGGCAACCTGGCTGTGGATCTACACCACACATCAGATCCCAGACTACGTGTATAAAAGCACTGGCAAGCCTTAACGCTTTTAAAAACAATGTTTGCACTTAACTCCTTCATTAAACTGACTCTCTCATTATATGTCACTTAGTTTAACAATTATTTGTTGTTTTCTTTCAGAGCCATTGGTTTGATAAGGAAGTTTGAGATGAACCAGTTAAACTACAGGCTCTCTCATCCAGTAGCAGCCTTGCAAACAAGCCTAACGAAAGAAATGGACAAGTATAGCAGAATCCGCTTTGATTATGCCAGCTTTGATGCACAGGTCTTCGGTAAACAGCCACTGATGGGGAGCAACCAGGAACAGGAAATAGCACATTTCCCTGAATGTAAGTTTGAGACTTTCTTTAAACTTAACTATGGTTAAAATGTTTCGATACAATAACATGTAAGTTATTTTACAGGCAATTGCCCTGGTGATTATATTAGGGACTAATGTAAGCCAATGATTTGTCTTTTAGCCCCTCAGCAGTACACTGGCTTTCTTGGTGCTTCAGGTCATCTGCCCAACTCCGGTCAGCATAGCCCACCGAGTCAATTCAAAAAAGACGAGAGTCTCCAGACAGCTGCTGCCACGGCCGCTATCCTGAACCTCTCCACTCGCTACAGGAAGAACATGGAGACGGTCACTGACCGGCCTTTGGCAACCTCCACAAAGGTAATCAAATTAGACCACTTGGAAATGTATTTAATGTGGTCATTTTAAAGGAACTCTGATTTGTGTATAAAAAGAGATGGCATCAAAAGACTGAATTTGGCAAAGAGGACCTGGCACTCTGGTGGCAGAATTACAAGCAGGTTTCCAGACTTTAAAGCTTTAATGTACTCAAATCGACATTTGTGTAATCACATCTGAAGATGCAGAACAATTAGCCTTACTTCCTAATTACATCTCCTTGTCTTTTTAAACATGTGGCATTGTATTTTGTTTCGACATCATCTGGCATGTAAAAGCCTGAACTGTTGACTAAAAAACACTGCAGATGGCAGAGGATATTTTGCTTAGTTAAAGGAGCCAGGATGGTGTGTGTGTGTCTACAAGCATTTTGGGAGATGGAGCCAGACATTTAAACGAGATGCCTAAAGTTCAGTCTGTGCTTTTCTGCTCCTTTTCTTAACTTGTCCTGAAGTGTCTTTGTGATTAGACTTGTGTGCACCCTGTGGGTTACATGCACATGCACAGTGTACTGTAGATGATTCAAGGTTTCCACACCTACACAGCACAGATCGTTGTCTCCCAGCTTGTTGAGCTGAGAACGTGGCCCTGTCCCAGGTACCAGCCCACTGAATGAATAAAACAGTGTTAGCAAGTTAATCATCTGTTCTCATTTACAGCTTAGTTGTCGTGGAAAGATGTACAAAATAAAGACCAGCTTCACGTCTGAAAAGCAGGGCTATCTTTGCTGTGTAACTTATCTGCACACATATTATAACTCATAACCTAAGTGCTTCCCGTTAACGATGCAACATTTTATTAATAATAGTCCTAATAACTACATTGTTTTGTCCCTGGAACATAATTAAAATCAAAAAGCTCATCCTTTAGTTTTCCTCTGTCCTGTTTTGATGAGGTAGACACATCATCAGAAAGCAGGGTAATTAAAGTGGACAGCCACATCCAACATCCATGAAAATTATACCTTTTAATTAATTTGAAAGGCTGCCCTTTGTTACAAAAATAATGATGTGTATGTAGGGTCTAATAAAACATAAGCATTGAATAATTGGTTTCATTTATAAACGGTATCCCAGCTTTTAAAGCGGTAAAAGTTTTAATGCCAAAAACAGGCCATAAGTCACCCCACTCCTGCATTTCAGCACCAAACAAGCACATCTGTCAGCAAGTAAACTTATGCCACATTAAGCTTTTAATTTTTGTTATAATAATGATGACCTAAAACCAGCAGAGCCCACCCCCAGCTGCCATCTTGGTTGTGTGTCCTAGAAAACAGATGACACAGCTGTCAGAGAAAAAAATACACTCCAGTAATTATTTTATTATTATTATTTTTTTGCAATCAGCAGAATTAACAAGGACTTATATTACTACCTTGCCTGGAATTAGATAACCTTTGATATTTGCATTTTCTAATTATTTTTAAGTATTTTTCAAAATTAAATCAAATAAAGTATCTTTTGTCTCATTATTCTGTATATATGCAAAAACATTAGGAATCTCTTAACCTTCATTATGTAGTTACTAATCAGGGAGAACCAAAACCTAGGGTTACAAGACACACTGAGATGAAAAAAAATTCTAATAAAAAAAATCAAATATTTTATGGGGAAAAATTTCTTGATTACATTTTTTAATTCACCCATTCTGCACCCAAGTTTAATCACATTAAACTGCTGAAGAAGAGGATAATAATCATCAGAAGAAATGTGTGTGGCTTTTACTGAAATAATTCATTCTAAGTTATGATATAAAAATGTTGATTAAAATAAAAATATCTATAGATTTATTTTATTATTTAGTCATTTTTGTTGAATTTGTGTCTCACCTCATCCAGAGTTTCTGACCGTTCAGGGACCACTCACGTTATTAGCAGCTAGAATCAACTTCTAATTCTTCAGGAAAGGTTAAAAAGTCAGCGAAGAAATAGGTCAACATAGATTCTTTTTTATTATTCTGACAGTCTCTGTAGATTTACAAAAAAAAAAATTTATAAAAGAAAAGGCCTTAAGCAAATGGTCAACTTTAAACTGAAAAAAAGTTTTGTTTTTGAAGTAACATTTTTTTCGGAAAAAAAATTGACAGATGTTCTAAAAGTGTCTCTGCGCAAAAAAAAAAAAAAAAAAAAAAAAAAAAAGGCACATATTATCATCCAAAAGCTCAGTCTGTATCTACTAGGCCTGCAAAAATCACAAGAATATCGATAGGGCAACATTGGCTGAAGCAAGAATTGATATTGCAAGAAAATAAATATATATCGCAATAACACAATGTTCTCCATTTTACAAAATGTTTTTTTTTATATATAAAATTAACAAAAAGATTTTCCATATTAAATCCTACATTAGCTGGTCTTACCGTAGTTTTGTCATTGTAAAGTTTTGATTTTTACCCAGTTTTTAAATTAAGCAATTGAAGGCATGTGCATTTGTTTAATTAGTAAGTTTTTTTTTTCCTTTTCTTTCTCTATTAAGTGAACTTATTGTGCCAAAAGTATATTAAAATATCTCAATAATATCATTATCGTAATACAAAACATAGTAAACTTTTTCTCATATAGTTTCTACTCATACACATCCTCAAACACCAACTACAAAAAGTTCATTTCAAATGAATAACACCTTTGTATGCAGCTTTCTGACTGTTTGAAACTTACCTCATTTTATCCAGGACATGCCCATAGAAGTGGACGAGAACGGCACTCTGGACTTGAGCATGAAAAAGAGCAAGGAGCACCCAAAGGCCCTGCCCAAGTTGCCTTCTGAAGAGTTGCCATCTCCACTGGATCCTGCTTCGATGGTCAAGAGTGGGAGCATGCTTATCACCCCTGCGTTTTACAAACCCCTGTGTGAACGTGATAGTTGGGAGAGCCACTTCCCAGTCAACTTCACCAAACCTCACATCCTGCAGGAAAAAGAGGTAGGGATGTAATGAAATTCAAATTTTCTGTATGATATTTTCACGATATGCATCTCACGGTACAATATTTGTTGTGATATTTTGTAGAGGGTAACATTTGTGTGTGGCTTTTACTGAAATAATTCACAGTAAGTTATGATATAAAAATTTGTGGAATCTGTGTCTCACCTCTGACCATTCAGGGACCACTCATGTTATTAACAACTGGGATTCTGCAGGAACTGTTAAAAACTCAAAGAAGAAATACGTCATCATAGATGTTTTTTATTATGCTAATATTATGCTAAAACTGTAGATTTACAAAAAAAAAAACATAAAAGAAAGGGCCTTAATAAATGCAAGCAAACTTTAAATAGTTTTTTATCCAAATTTTTTGCTAAAAAAAAAAATAAAAAATTGACAGATGTTCTAAAAGTGCCTCTGTGCAAGAAAACAAAACAAAACAAAAATTATCATCCAAAAGCTGAATCTGTTTGTACCAGGCCCACACAATATATCACAAAAATATTGGTATCACAATACTGATTAATACAAGAATCGAGAGCCACTTTCCAGTCAATTTCTGCCAGGTTCACATCCTGCAGGATAAAGAGGTAGGGATGTAACAATATCCAAATTTCTCGGTACGATGTTTTCACGATATGCATCTCACGGTACCATGTTTATTGCAATATTTTCAAGAGGCTAACAAAATTGTGAATATACAACTTTCTCCTTTAAAACACCTTGACAAGACTCATGAGCCATAAACCAAAGAGCTAAGATTTAAAAGTGCTTACTAAGTTATTTCATCGTGTAAATTGAACTGAAACAGAGCAAAGGTACATGGTCTGTGTAGCTCCCTCTGTTTCTTTTGGGTATTGCTGCACCATAACAATGAATTTAAGCAAAGACACTTGAGATATGATATGTTGTGATGGTCCACAATATTACTAAGACAATTTTGAAGATACGATATCACAATATTTTGGTTATTGTTACATCCCTACAAAGAGATACAGAAAAAAGAAATTAAATGCCATGGCTTATGTAATAATGAGAGAAAGAATGACACCGCTGTGTTATTAAAATGCAGTGAAAAGTTATCAGTTGTGCTAAATGTGTGAGAAACAAAACTGTCAGTGGAACTGTTAACTGGGCTTTGAAAGATTAGCAGAGTAATTGTTTTTTCTCAAGAGTACTTTCGAGGGTGCTTTAAATTACAAATGTGAGTCATCTGAATCCACTTTAAGCAAAATCCAGTTTCTTTGCCACTTAGGTGTATTTTATGTTTGAGGGGTTTTTAGTTTTTAAAAAGTACTTTCGTATTTTAAAGATTTTGAATTCAACCTGTTAACTGTAAACAACATCTGCTGATTTCCAAATCTTACAAAGAAATCCATGCATGTGGATTAAGTATGACTTTAAATGCATATATGATTTACAACTGTATGTATCCTTAAGCATAATCTCTGTGCTTTGCTCTCTAACCCTTTTGTGCTAAGAGTATTAAACTCGGCTTTCATTAATTATTGACTTTTAGGTCATTGGTCTGGTTTAATATTGTGAAGTGAGTTTGATGCGCCTGTTGTTGAATGCAGGAGGATTTTGATCATGTCTCTCTGGAGGAGCAGCACTACCAGGGAGATGGGCTGATGAGTGCCAAAGCCAAGCTGCTGTTAAGAGATGTGAAGAAAGAGCTGCTGAGGTGGGTCTCGCCAACACTGGGGTCACAGGGAGGGAGGGGAAGCAGGGAGAGAAGGAGGGAGAGAGGGGGGCACACAGGCTTCGTGGTGCAGTCAGCTGTACATAATGAGTTTGCTTTTGAGAAGGCTTTTTTGACAGATGGTCCGTGTTCTTACAAAGAAACCTATGTCAAGACAGCATAAGTGAAACTGAACTCAAGTGTCCCGTATTGTAACTAATATGTCTGCAGGTTCTTGTGGAGGACAATTGTTTCTTTTTAAAAGTGAGTTTTCTCCCTGTATGTCCTGTACAAGCTTACAAATCTTGACTCTTGTAGTTAGAGTGCATGCTCTGCTGGACCTCTCCACAATGACACCATCAAGTAGAAAAGCCTAGTTACAGCACAGCAAATCCTAAAATGATTTAAGGAGAAGAAAGTGCGCAGTGCAATAATATATTACTAAACTTCCTGCTGTACTAACTCTGAATCATATCATTGACCATATTAGGCAATAAATGAGCAATTCTGTAAAAGCTTAGAAAGCGTGCACAGTTGAATAATCTGTGTATTAAAGTGTATTTGTTCTGATGCAGCTGTCCAACCCCAGGCTGTGATGGCAGTGGCCATGTGACGGGGAATTATGCTTCACATCGGAGGTAGAGTAATTAATTACACCTCATTAGCAGAAGCAGATATACAGATAAGGAAAACAATGCTGATTGTTTAATTATGTTGATTATTACTGTTTGAAGCAGCTTGTACGCTCAGATAGCAGGCTCTGTCGTTTGTATTAAAGCTGGAGTGAAAAGCCTTGTCACAAAGGCAGCACAACATTGTGTTTTTACTATTATATAATTATGTATTTTTGTCATTGTATTAAGATGCCATAATTCAGCTGTGATCAAAGAGTGCATTAGACTGACTGTTAGCTCTTTATCCTCTCCAGTGTGTCTGGATGTCCCCTGGCTGACAAAACACTCAAATCACTGATGGCAGCCAACTCTCAGGAACTAAAGTACGTTTTAAACTTGCTTTTTTTTATACCCATCTACTTAAGCCCCGGCCAAAGCCTGCCTTTTCCTTCACCTTTCCTTTTACTATACATTATGCATGATGTGTATTTACCTCACACAACATTGCTGCCGGCAGTCTGCTGTAAAAAGCACCTGGTCTCTGTGTCTCTCGACCTGCAGGTGCCCAACACCTGGTTGTGATGGATCTGGTCATGTGACTGGGAACTATGCTTCACACAGAAGGTAGGAGAGAAGTGGTCAAATAACGAAACATGAAATACATTTGTTAGATGCATATCTTCTAAACAGATGGCAAAGTCTGCACATCTGCGTGCATTTCATATAGTCTGTCAATGACATTTAAGTTGAAAACTTCATGCTTGTTCAATATATATTATATTTTTCTGTGAATCTTAATGATGTCCACTATAAACTCAGCCTGAGTGAAGGGTTTCTTAAAGATTTTAGCCATGACATTGCTTTAGTCTCAAAACTGACAGTGCCTTCACAAAGTATGCTACTGGATCCGACCAACTACACATGACTCACAGTAGATACATTGAAGAGATGTGATAGCTATAATTAATGTATTATATTTTACAAAAACTTAAATTTAATTATCTATCTAAAACAACTATAAAGCAATTATTTTCCACTTACATCATCTTTATTTAGTCACCGTGCGTCAATAAAACGTGGTCATGTTTGCAAAATTACAGAGCTAAACTTTACTGGCATGGTAAATACATAAAACTAATATATTACGTTAGATTTTAAACGACAATTTCATTATATTTAAGTGCAACAAGCATTATTTAATTAGTGGCACTATAATTAACTCCCACATTTAGAGTTATTTGTGTTTTATTAGCTAATCAGTGTGTGTGCTAAATGCTAACCTGAGCATGTCGTGTCCTCGCGCAGCTTGTCGGGATGTCCGCGCGCCAGGAAAGGAGGCTTGAGGCTCACACCAAACAAGGACGAAAAAGATGAGCAAGAGCTTAAGTAAGATCATTCTGTCATTCTCTTTTGTTTAAGACATAAAAAACACGGAAAATATTGTGCAAATGTGTCACGCTGCCGAGTATTGTACCTGTAGGCTATTAAGTTAAACAAAGAAAACAATACTACTCTTCCAACATTATCAAATTATTATTTTCAATGGATTAACAGTGGAAGGGGTGTCTGATGCTGTGTGTGTTTACAGAATGGACTATCTAGCGTGTAACTGAGTGCTTTTTAATAATTATAGTTTATTAAGAAAATGTGCTGTGCTGATGGCCAGTGCTTTCACTTTGCAGTAAATCACTCTTCACTCTCATGTCTCTGGAAGTGTTATTGGAAAAAAATAATGTAATTGATTTGCAGTTTAAGCCCAAAGTCTGATATATGAACCCTTGTTTACTTATACATCTGGACAGTGATTTTTCTTTTTAATTACTAATGCATGAGCTTAGGAATTAGATCTCATAAGAGAGACAGGGGGAGGGCAGCAAATGTCCCTAGATTATTGTAAATAGTGGGCCATATGGCATGTCTCCATTGTCCTGGGGTAGTGTGCAAAGCTACCTACCTGTGGTCCATGAAAGTACTTGGGCCGATGTTGTTTTGTTCTCTAAGTGCAGCTCTGCCTGTGCCATTGAGGAATAAAATGCTGAAACAGGCTTTTTGTGGCAGCACTCTGCAGCATGTGGGCTATTTGTATCATCTCCCGTGACCTTTCACCTTTATCAATAAGGGAGAGGGTTATAGCCACCTCTAAATTACATTCTTTCGCATGAGGGGACAGATGACAATTATGTGTAATTCATGTCACTCCATTACCGACCTGCAGAGAACAGGGCTGGAAACGCAACTGATAAACTCCTAATGAACGTGCAGCAGGAGTCATGTTTTTGGCACAAATATTAGTAATGGTAGAATGTACCACTATTTTTTCCACTCAAGGATTACTAACTTGTGGGTAATGCGATTAGTGGAGTCCATTTGTAGTTTTAGAGTTTATTTTTAATCAGCATTTGGCTGGATTAATCAACTTAATGGTTAACAAATCTTCCGGTCTAGTTATTAAAAGTGATTTTTTTAATGATCCCAGAAGATGGCTGTCCACTGTGTTGTATTCGTTCCTGTTGTACATATCTGTTTAGAGCAGTCACATGTTTTAGCACAGAGATATTATTGAATACAACTCACACTGAATTATTTTTCCCCGTGTGAATGCAGATTAACAACATTTGTGTGTTCCTGGTAGGTGTCCAGTAATAGGATGTGATGGACAGGGCCATATATCGGGGAAATACACGTCTCACCGCAGCGCGAGCAGTTGTCCACTGGCTGCCAAAAGACAGAAGGAGTCGTCCATCAATGGGCTGCCCTTTGCCTGGAAGGCCAATAAACAGGAACTGCCCCATTGTCCCCTGCCCGGCTGCAACGGCCTTGGACATGCCAATAATGTGTTTGCCACTCACAGAAGGTGAGGCTCTGGTCCTCCATTTTATCTCCAAACAATACAGCAGGCGACATGTTGTGATTTTACTAGGACTGACCGCTATGACCTTAAATCAATATTATTAGGCATCATTTATTGATTGTGAAATACTACTTCCCATAGTGATATATACATCTATACATTCATACATCTGCTTTTTTTTATAGCTCACTTAGGTATTTTAACAAGATTTTCCAAAACTTAATTAGGAAGAATATTGTTGTGTATTCTTAATGAAAATACAAATGGTCCCCCTTTTACTAAAGAATAAAGATTCTTTATTCAGCCTTTGTACTTGAGTTACACAGACTTTCAAACAAAAACTACAAAATAAGCACAACTTATGTTCCAGCTATTTCCAGCTTTCAAACTTTTTTACAATAGCACCAGTGGCATTGTTCTGTTGACTTTACACTATGTGCTCTCCCTTTATCTAAGATATGTCATTTTTGACCTGCTGAACCACAGCTTATCAGGTTGCCCGCTGAATGCACAAAGTATCAAGAAAAAGCACCCAGAAGAAGAGATGACTATCAAAGTCAAAACTAGCAGCGGTGAGCATACTTCATGGAACAACACGGATGCGACTGGCATGCACACTATCAATATTGTCTTTTGTTACTTAGGTGTGGAAAATAAGGATGACATTCAACACTTGGATCATGAAATAAAGGAACTAAACGATTCCAACATGAAAATAGAAGCTGACATGATGCAGCTCCAAACCCAGGTAAATATTTACTCTGGCATCGCTTCTCTTTCAACCAGGTGTTTTCTGTGTTCAGGCTTCCAGATTTTAACTGTGCCTTTTTATTTTGCCCCGAAAAAAGCAGATTTCATCGATGGAATGTAACCTGAAGACAATTGAGGAGGAGAACAAGATGATCGAGCAGCACAATGACAGCCTCTTGAAGGAGCTCGCACGCCTTAGCCAAGCTCTCATCAACAGCCTAACTGACATCCAACTGCCTCAAATGGTACGAACGCAAACTCACCACTCCCAGTGTTTCCCATTAATACAGGAGACTATGATGGCCCCCATTAGTAGTTTTCAGATTCTAGATTGTGATGAAGTCATACTCCCAGATGGGGGGCAGGAGACAGTTTTCCCTATTGATTACATTTTACTTTGCCATGAAACATCCAAAAGTAAATTCACAAATGTTGATCCCAGTATTTTCATTCATTGACTAAACCCAAAAACTCACTATATTACAGCATCATGTTGCTTTTTAACAATATTCATTTTAGCAGCCCCCATCTGTATTAATTAATATTGGCCTAAAGAATGCTGTGATGTCAAAAATTCTCCCCCATACTCTGAAAACAACCTGGACTATATTAGCAGAATAAAATTAGACTTTGTTGCTCATTATAATATTATATACTCTTAAAAGAGACTAAACTGGTCAATACTGACTGGTTTCTTATTCCTTATTTCTTTATTTATTTGTAAAGTGACAACACATATTAATGACCAATTAAAATGTAAATATGTAAAGATTATAGCCAACGTGATGAATTTCCATCTTCAGTCCCTCGGGAGACTGATGTCAAACAATCTAAAGGACAGGTAAAAATACAGCAACAATCCCACAGAAATGCACTCACTAATCACTGTACATACAATTCATTTCTGACAATTCATTTGAAGTTCAAGTCAAGAGAAGTCAAGAGATAAACCAAGAATCCCTCAATATAAAAATGTAATTTTGTTTAACAGGTGACATATTTGGCCAATGAACAACCACCATTTAATGAATTTTGTCCTATAGAATGCTGTGATGTCATCTGAAACCCAGCAATAGGCAGGTTAAAGATTAAATATACGCAGTATGTGACATTTCTACACACATTGACTGAGATTAAATTATTCAAATAAAAATAATTTGTGCCGCCATAGTTTTTAAAAAATCAATGGGAAACACTGACTCCTTATCACTTACTTGTTCTGTAGGGATGTGTTGTGTTCACTAATAGTCAAACCTGTTTTACTCTGTTCCAGGGACCCATCAGTGAGCATAATTTTGAAGCCTATGTGAACACATTAACTGATATGTACAACAACTCGGAGCATGAATACTCTCCGGAGTGCAAGGCTCTTCTGGATAATATCAAGCAGGCTATTAAGGGCATCCATGTTTAAGTACTACCCCAGGTTTCTTTGACTTGGGATAATGGCACTAGATAGCTCTATTTTACACAGACTGTGGGCCTGGCTGCATGTACGTATAAGACAAGGCTTTTGGAAATGCGTGTGACATTTCCACATAAATACACTGCACTGAGAACATTACCAGCCAGACGCTTTTACTGTTTCTGCATTCACACCACACATGTTCATTTCATTTTACCCCTCTTGCACTTAATTATTTTGTATTGTTTGCTTGATTTTAATCTCTATGTGATCACGTCATTCTGATATTATCACTTATTTATTATTATATTTGTCCATCTACGTATTTATTTCCCAGTTTTATTTATTTCGAGTGTAAATTTCTAATATCAAAGTTTGTTCTGCACACTGTAGAAGCACATTCCAATTTTATGGCATACTTACGCCATCTAGTGTTGAAAACATATATTGATATTATTATTAGATCTTGAGTTGGATTTCCCTTAAAAGAACCTACCAAAAGCCTAAATATTTTATGAATCGCTCTTGCTTTCTACTCTTTATTGGAGACTGAATGTATAAAAAGACAAAGTGAGATCAAAAAATGCATCTGTACTGTATTTTTCCAAAAAGCTGAATGCAAACAGTAGGTGACACTGAGCAAAAAATCATGCAACATCAGTGAACTTGAATGTCCAGTTCTGCTTTGCAAAGAGTGCCACGAGAGAAGTGCATCACAAATGAAAAATCCACACTTTGTCAAGATGTCGTTTTTTCATATATAGATATTAAACTGCCTTTTGTGCACACGCTGCGGAGTGTGCATATAGTATGTGCCTAAATGTATATGATCCATGAAAAAATATAATGATTACTATGTTTTGTGGTAGGACAGTATTATGTGGATGGTGTCTAATTTATTATACAGTACAATTATTTTCATAGGAGCAAATGTTTGATGACTGTTTCACTTATGTTGTCCCGGTAACTGTAACCCCAAGTTAAGAAATATCACAAGTGACATTTTTATTATCCCGTTATTGCGTAATTTTTTCAAGAAAATAGTTTTATATTAAAGTTACATGTGATTAAAATCCAATATTGGACATTTAGACCAGTTGTCATACTTTTTGAGCAAACGCAGAAGTAGCTCTTTAAAAATAAACCTAACCACAAATCATGTATGTTTAGCATTTCCGTTGCAACCGATATTATTACAATCTAATCAGTTCTGTCTCATTAAAATTATTGCACTTTTGTACTTTTTGTTGGCCACACTGCCCTTTGCAATCTCAAAAGATGAAAAAAAAAAAATGTGTGAAATCATCATTCATTTGAGCAATATGCCTTTACTTTTGCAAAGGGAAGTCAAACACATGTAGCCACTTTTCAAAGACAACAAAGCAGGAGCGCCAAATCCTAGAAAAAAAAAACTATTTGTACGAAATAAAAATGCCATTACCTATTATTTATATTTATTTAATTCTTATTCAACATTGTTTGCTCAGGAAGTTTTGTGAATAATATTTATTTTTCCCTGTTAGTATTTGATGTTTTGTAATGTGAAATGCTTTTGTGGAACGATATTAGTATGATGAAATTGTATTGTATTTTTCTTTTCTTTTACATTGAAATGTACTGCTTTTTAAGTTTAGGTAGTTTGTAAATTGAAACTTCCTATTACTTTTACTATTTCATAATAAACAGATATGCGCTGTGTTGTACAGTTTGTGTATGGTAGAAATAAACTTTTCAAATGCGTCTGTTTTCTTTTGCTATGTTTGGAGTAAACAACAATAGAGCGACAGCGACATCTAGTGGATATTCACGCGAATAACCACAACAGCAACTCGGACGAGCTGGTCAGCGAGTTCATTTGAAAGTGGAATCTCATTTTATATTAAGACATCGCAAGCTCCATTACCCCATTACATTTATTCAAAAATAACATCTGCATTTTTACAACCGTCATTTTACCTATAGGCTATCTAATGATTCTCAAAGTTCAATTTCAAATAAGATATGGCATTTGTAAAACTATATAGTCAAACATAGTAAATTAAATTCATTATAAAAGAGTTTTCCAATCTTTTCAGGCTGGGCTGGGACCCCCAAAATGATCTTGCTGCTCACCAGGACCTCCACTGCAAAGTGAAACTGACACTTATGGAAACATATTGCAAATATATATAAAAAAAAAAAAGAACTCTATCAACTGAATAAAAGTTTTTAGAGTAAATACATTTTGCCACTCATCCAAATAGCTTCTTCAGTTCTAACAGGGTTCTGTTAGTCACTTCCTTATTATATCTGTCTAAAGGGAAGAGCTGCTGAAACCTACCCTATAGGTTTTTTTTTTTTTTTTTTTTTTGGTCTAGTAGTCAAAGTATTCAGTTGAGAATAACAACTGCGGGATGCACAGACATCTTTGGCAAAACATTTAAAGTCAAGTTTCACTGTGTACATTTTAGAAGCTGGCAGTGTTTTTGACCTAATTTCACTAACAGGGTATATGTCTGGCAAGTAATTAATTAAATATAATGTCATAAAAATGTCTCACAAGCCCTCAGTGCCTCACGTCACAAACACTTAAATCAAAATTTACAGACTATAGGCCTATAGCTGAGTTTACCCCCAAACATCAATGAGTCAGAATTGGAAATTATAGGATGAGTGACTGGAGAAAATAAACAGGTGAAGTTAGGTCAGGGTCATGCGAGTGCACTGTGATCCCTAATCCCTAAAGGCTGTGGTTAGTGAAGCATGCCCCATCCTGTCTACACTATTCTTGTACCATATGCAGTCGGAGAGTATAGAGAGGTATTTAGAGGCACGAGGTATGTTCTCTACACCACGAGGACATGGCCCCAAACAACCCATGTGCTCACAATATTTCTAATAGAACTCCAGAAGTAATGCAAAAATTAAATTACATCTCAAAGACCCCGTTGTGCAGAGAAACTTTACTTCCAGACTTCAAAATAACCCAATAACCCAGTCCAAATTAGGGTATCTGGAAAAATCCTACACAATTCTAATTTCTGAACTAATAACTATAATGTAATTTTGAATGCATCTTATTAGACATTTCGCCCTGGTAGAAGAACTCAATGACTCGGACTCAGTGACTGGCCTCTTTATTCAGTACACATGCTCAAAATCTTGTGAACATAAACTTTCAAGCATCCTAGTAGCCACATGTGAAAATATGTTGATGCAAAAGAAATTGTTTCAATGTTTATGTCGCTTTACTTGAATCAGTTTAGAGGGTGAAAATCAAAAATCTCTGGCTTATAGGGCTGTAGTATGATGAAAAGGAATACAGCTGGAATGAAACAATTAAAAAAATCAAAACAGCACACCTCTAAACATAAAATTATTTAAGATTTTGCAAAAGATAATAAAATATATATATCTAGTTTTCCCTAGTTTGATAATTTTGGTGAAGTTTATCATTTCACCACCTGGTTGGAGAGGTAATTCCAAAACTGTTACCAATAGCAACCAGTAAACAGTTCGATTATTCATGTTATTTACACACGTTATTATTTGACACATGCAGATGAATTGTAGCATGACTGTTTTTGAACACATTGTTACTTTGTGAAGCCTATTTTCTTTCATACTTCTGTCAAGCACCACTCAACTGAAACTATAATACATTTTTTACAACAGGTACTTTTCCACCAAACAAAGTAACACTTAGTGTTTTCCAAAACAAATTCCAGGTACAAGGTAGTATCTGTCATTATTGCTGTCCCTGAGTTGGGTCTTTGAGCTGTAGTTATGACATATGACACTTAAAAGGAAAATGTTGCAGTCTTGTATGAAAGAACTGTTCAAAGACTGAGTGCGTGGTTGAATTTGGCAGAAATGAAATGTGTATGCCTAGTTTTGATAGAGTAGTCTATAGGATATATTATAAAGAGCCTATGTTCCTAAAAGTGCACAAACCTGTTTCCACTCCACCTTAACACTGTATTGTCAGGGTTACATGGGGCCATGTAAGCAAGCTTGACCCATATTCCTATTTTGAAGCTATACACAGAGAGATATATTGCACATGGAAAGCAGCATTGAGCAACAGCATTGAAATGTGAGTGCTGGCACTACATCTCTTGGACATACACAAATGTAAATATATATATAGTGCAGTGTTACATAATGGAACACCTGCACATGGGCATCTAAGGATTGCACTCCTAAATGACAAATTGTGAAATCCATTAACCAAACTATTAACTAGGCCCAGCTATGTAAACATACTATAATAAATGACATAATAAAGTACAGTTTGTAATATATAGGCTAATGATGATGATAACAGAAATCTCCAGGAAGAATAGTACTTGTTTAGTGAAAGTGGACCAGCCCTGTATAGCCCCATATCTGCTGACCAGTGCTGGCCCCCCTTATTCAAGCCACACAGTGATCCATTGCAACAGAGGTAGTGCAGTCAGAAACCAGCTGTAAACTAAATATAGGACTTGCCTGTGGAGAGCACCAAGGGTTATAGATGGGTTAGGCTTTCCAGGATATGTCTTATTTCTGGGAGTAGGATCTGAGGACAAGAACCTGCATACATAAGAGGGTTAGGCTTTGTCAGCAAATGTTAGTATAGCACACAATAGTATTCAAGCACAACGGGGGCCTGTATTTCCTGACCTATGTTATAATTTCCTTATCACAAACATACCTTTCATTCACTTATGTTTAACAGACAAACCTTGTATATTTAGACTGAGTTCTTTTTCAAAGGGAAAAAAATCAGGTTCAACCTTGTGAGGTCATGTGGTAATACAGGAAGTGCTCCATTGTGTTTTTAAACTCCATACACCGTCACTAGAATCGTTTGGATGATTTCAGCCCTGGAATTGCCAATCTCTTCTGAACTAAAGGCAAAATAAAGTATTACTCAAACAAAACACAACTCCAGGTATGTTTTTGGTGAGGAAACAGCATTATAACACAGCTTAAAGCTCACGAGAGTCAACTTTGCATAATATAGGACTTTTAACAAGAAGCCGACATGAGTTGAACAAATTTACTGAAACAAATCTGCAACCACTCTATACAAATATTTTCAAAAGTGTCACTCTTGGTTACCTTGTTAATCCTAGCAGGCATTCTTTGCTTTTGATTTAGCCTGCAGGCCTGCATACTTTTAAATACTACTGCATTCTATTTGGACTTAGACTTAGACAAACTTATTTGATCCACAAGGGAAATTATTTGGACACAGTAGCTCACACAATAGATTATAGTCAGAAAAAGAAAAAATATATGGTATAAAGAAATTCCAAATAAGTAGCAAAAATATCAAGAGATTGGTGTCAAATAAGGCATTATTATATAAATGTATATGTACAAGTAAAAATAGAATACAGAAATATAGTGATAAAAATATAAAACATCAGGTCGTAAGGAGAAACAGAGCAAAGATGATATAATGATTGACAGGACATTGGGTTATCTGTTACATAAGGGTGAGTTGTTGTATAGTTGTCTGGAGTATGGTATGAATGCAGTCCTGTATCTTACTGTTTGAGCAGAGCTGAAGGAGCCTGTTGGGGACAGGGAACGTAATGAGACAGTGAATGTTGCTCAAGCTGCCTTGTTTATTATTGACCGATGTTTGTTTCACTGTTGGATTTTCTAACTTTCTCTTGGTTAAAACAATGATCCTGTTAAGCCCCAAGAGCCAACTGCGGTTATGATTTTGATCTCCACAAAAATAAACTGAAATGAATAGCGAGGAAGCCCCCCAAACTGTGTCACAGCCTCAAATCTCCCCGTGAAGTCAGCATGAGGAAAAGGGCCATTTGATCAACAGAACCTCTTCCCTGTATCGACGTCTTCACACCACGTGACGAGTGTTTACATCCTCTCCTCAGCTGTTCTTATTCTTGCACTCGAGCCCCAGCACACCGTGTTATAGCCCTCTGTACCTTCACCTTGACCATCCAGCCCCGTGAGTTAGCCCCGTGAACCAGTGACACACTTCTGGCTCGCGGCAGGTTGTGGACGTCTCAAAGTCTTTGTGCGTCGCGGTGCTCCGTTGTAGTGCGTCCAGTTGCAAAGAGTGAATGCGACACGACATTGTGAGTATTCCTTAAATTATTTCCCGCTTGATGCACCCCTGTCACGACAAAGATGATTTTTTACTGTTTTTCGAAGTTGTTTCAAGTGACTATGTGAGCCGCTGTATTCGAGCACCGACGGGCTTATTTAACCATTGTTTTGGTGATGGCGCACTCAGGCCCTACAAAAGCTAACACGGGCTAAGGTCCATTGACAACTCGACTACCTTGTTCGACACATCCAGCCTTCATATTAAACTTATTTTTCACATTTGATTCACCTGACAACGTATTTTTCAAGTTTGCACATTTTCCACAGTATCACTCTGCTGTTTAATGATGGCGTGTGTTGAACAAAAGAACTCGAGGAAGTTTTCGTAAAGGCAAGCCGCAAACTAGCTTTCTTTACGTAATTATTATTTTTTGTGATGTATTTTTCCACCCATCACCTGCATAAGGCGACAGAGATGTTCGTTGTACCTTTTTGCAAACCGGTTTAGCTGGTCACGGCTAAAGATTGAGGTTAATCGCACTGCAGAGAGCTGTGGCCAAATGCGTTTTGTGAAAAGAAGTAAGGACAAAAGCGCGCCGCAGACACCCGCTCTCATGTTGTCAACCCGGGGGAAAGACAGACACAGTACCCACGGATCTGTCACGAATACGGACGCGCGTGGTGTGGAAATATCAGTGCTTAATAACGCTTGACAACATTTGATGAAAACGCTGTTGTTGTTTTGCTCCCCTCGCCACACACGCAGGGAAGAAAGTGTTCTGTCCTCTGATTGGCCGAGAGCGCGCCGTCTGTGTGGCAACTGCGTCACGTGACCAGGCGCCGCTCCCATTGGCTGCAGCAGGTGTCATTCACGGGACCAAAGGAACATCTGTGACAACTACAGTAGCTCATCTGATAAATGCTTTATATACCGCCAGAAACAAAAAGAGGGCTCGTTTATCACAGGAGGCGCCATATGTTTTCATCCGCTGAGATCCAAGTTTGGTTTTGTTGTTATTGTTGAGGAACAAAGCTGTAAAACATTTAAAGTGCCTGTCTTTGTATGGGCAACCTGTTCTACAAAAGAATGCACCATGAGGACTAGTCATTATTTATAGATGACGTTATGGTTCTTTTATGCAGGCTTGCCATATATTTACCCTACTTTATATTATGTTTTTTTTTTAAGTACAGGAAATGCCCCATAAGCTAATTATTTTTATTTTATTTCTGTGTGTATATATATATATTTTTTCAACTATAAATCCTTAACAGTGCACTAACTTTTCTGGTTTTCTGGCCTCCATGAAGATGTTAGATGCTTTACCTCCAATATTCCAAAGTATGGCACTAAACTTTTCAATCTCTTTGAAAACAAGAAGGAGACGCAACCAGGCCAATTTACAGGTGATATCTGCGAAGAGGTGACCCCGTGTCAAGCTGAGTTTACGGTCATGCTTCAAATCGAAGCGACGCAGATAATAAGGGCTAAGTTGTAAGCTAAATTTGTTAAATTTTATATATTTGCTAGTACAACAAAAGTAATCTAATATCAGCCTAATGATCGGATGTAAGGATTGTTTTTATTTTTACCCATATATTATTTTTGACTTTACTGATGGCAATTGTAATGTTGATTTATTTATCACTACAATTCCTATATATACATTCCTATTTTTGCTCTAGTTGTTAAGGCGATTATTCAATCACAAAGCGGACTGAGCTGCTTCCTGGATTCTACTGTTGTCTTCAATATAGCCTGCAGCTAGTGGCACCCCTGGTTAAGGTGTGATTGTAGAAGAGATCTTAAATCAGTAGCTGCTGTGAGGATACAATACTACCTTTTAAAGATCAATCAGGATTTACTGGATTTCAGTGGGTTTCCACATTGGGAAAATTGACACTTGATAAAACAGCTTGACTCCTTTTTCACACAGGTAGAATAACAGGGAGAGCTCAAACAGAAAGATGTATTTAAAAGGTCTGATATTACAAAAAATCGACTCTTGTGAGTGTTAAGCCATGTTATAATGTTATTACCTCCTCAAAAACATACATGAAGTTGTGTTTTGTTTTGTTTCATTCATACATGTTTGAGTAGTCCTGGTTTATTAATCTGTCTACATCTCTAAATCTTAAAATCCTCTTTTCCACCTTGTGATGTCATGAAGCAGTAGTTTTCAAGTTAACACTTTTAGTTCAGTAGAGATTGGCAATTCCAGGGTTGAAATTATCCAAAATCATTCTTGTCTTGAACACTTCCTGTATCACCACATGACATAACAAGGTGGAGTGTGAGAGAATAACTCAGCCCTAAGTATAAGGATTTGTGTGTTAAACATGTGTAAATGAAACAAAACACAACTCCAGGTATGTTTGTGATGAGGAAACAACATTATAACATAGATCAGAAAATAGTGTAATATGAGCCCTTTAAAGAATCCACTAGTGAGCCATTTTAAATTGAAAACCAGTCTGAGAGCAACATTTGATACTGTGCAAACTACACCCACGGAGCGCTGACTGCTACTGCATATGGCTCCGCTGTCACCATTTTGAGCAGTTTGTCAAGTATTTACCACTTATTTGAGATGTGTGCGATTGGTGCTGCCAAAAATCAGGCTGGAAAAGTTTGAGCGGATCACAAGATTTTGAACAAGCCTAAGGGGTTGCAAACTGTGCATTATATAAGAGTTTATTCACTGGGCTATTGTGCTAAGGTTTTAATAGCACCCTGCTGTGCCAGTCCCAGAAGGACAGCAATAATGTTTGTTTGAAAGAATGGTGCCCTACTTTTAATGTGAATGTTCAAAAACACAAAAGTTAAAATGATGTTATTTGCAATCAGAAAAGTCACCAGAAGAGGGTGATGTGTACCCAAAGAATCTAAACAGAAAAAGTTTGTAAGTGTTAAAAGTGGACAGTGTAGTCAGTATTTCTCTGACCCAATCTAATAATTTAAGTAGAGATTATGAATTATGAGGGTTTATCTTATCTCAACAATGTACCTCATATGTATAATTTATTAGTATATATTCAGTTAAAATAAATATAAACTTGATAGATAGCCTGGGGAAAAAAAACAACACAAAAAAGTTATAACGGACATTTTGTAACATTCCACCTCATATGGCACGCAATAGGCTATGGCAAAACACATTCAAAGAACCCTTTATATCATTAAGTTGCAAGCATGTCCAAACTTGATAGAGCATGACATTACCCCATGAAGCACTAGCTCAACTCAAATGTAAGTTGAATACTGCACTAATGCTCTGACTAAACGACTGTGCTCTAATACTGCACAGTCGTTTAGTCATTTTCATCAATGAAGGTCTCTTGACTCCATCTAGTGGTCTGACTTGAAACTATGACAGGTTGGACTACTTATTTTACTAAAACACAGTTAAGATAAGATAAGATGAAGATATTTAAGAAGAGTTTTGAACTTTTCTCCCCCAATTTGGCCATTTTTAGGCTTCAAATGTTCAAATGTTCAAAATGACATCACACTAGGGAAATTCATTACTGTTACTAGCAACCACGTAGCATTAACACACTGTGCCAAAACACATACATTAACATTTGATGACTAAAAATATAAGAAAACTATGAAATAATGTTTAAAATTCGGCAATCCCTAGTGTCATTATATTTTAAAACTTGCTACTTCCTGTAATTTTCAACATATTTTTCAACTTTTCTTGATTGATTTTCAACAGATGTTCTCCCACAAACTTGAGTCAAAATCATCAGAAGCTGTCATACGCACTTCCAGTCTTACGTTCACAGTTTAAAAATGTAATTTTTTGTCTTGCACATTTAAACACTAATATTCAAATTTCAGTCACACTATGGCAGCAATTTGTAATACTGCTCTTCCCGATGTACAAGCACACAACCCTCTACCCTGTCTGTATGATCTAATGACATAAATACTGTATAAACACTGAATAGACGTCATCATGATTTGAAAGCTTTGTGACCCACTAAAGTCATTTTAATAGAAGTCCAGAGTAATCACACGAGATCAGTGGGTCAAGCAATTAAAAATACAGAAGAGAACATGAATTTGCCTAATAATATTAAGTTTGTGCGCTCTGTAAATGAGATGTTATTATTCAGTGTGTGTCTGTGTGTGTGTGTGTGTGTGTATGTGTGTGTGGCGGAGAGGAGGTCACTGGGTCATAGAGGAGAGTGTGATCCATGACGGGTGAATATAGAACGAATGAAATTATGCAGATTAGAATCAATGTACTGAATGTATTTTTACAGAGATGACAGAGGGCTTTGCAGTTTTGCTAAATCTGAGGCTGGGTTGTTTTCTCTTTTAATGTTAATTTGATGATGATTACTTATGTTTTGGTTATGTTTATATTGTAATTTCAATGCATTTCTTATTCTGTAAAGCACTTTGAATTACTTTTTGTACACCTTGCATTGTGCTATACAAAAAAACTTGCCTTGTCTTGTTGTTGGCTACACAGAATTCCCAAATTGATTAACTTTCAGACTCAATTAGCCTTAACAGATTCTACATAGATTTTTCAATCCAGTTGGACATGATGCAGCCAATCAGGAAACATGAGCCAGGATTAAATATGCAAATGAGCGACCTCTGAACCAACAGAAATATATAAACTTGCATGGTCAGATCAGATTTGTTAAAAAAATAGATTAGTTGATATTATTCTAATAGTTTAGTTTGATATGATGTAGTTGTTTTTAATAGAATTTCTTGTGTAGTGTTGCCAGAGCAGAGTTTTGTCAAAACTGCAATGCTAACAACACAACTACTATGCCAACAGTGCACTTCCTGATACAGAAAACAGAAAAACTTTTACAAGACAGACAGACAGGCAGACAGTGCACAGACGGTTAGACCTCTAGAGCTGCTTATACAATATATCCGCTGTGTTTTTGTATGTAGGTTATATATGCGTAAACTATTCAGGAAAAGTACAATTTAAAGTTATATTATTTTTATTAAGTATTTTTTTGTATATAACATCTATCATGTTCTAAATTT